TGAAGAAGCACGTATGGAAATATTGGGTCCAATATGATAAAGGAAGGGAAGGATATGGCGGGGGAGAAGGAGAGGGGCGGGTGGAGTGCGAAAGATAGGGAACCAGGCGGGGCGGACGTGGTACTTGTGAGTTGAAGGGGACGTTTTTGACGAGGACAGGCTGTCGGAGCTCGGAGGGATATGAGAGAGCGCGGAGGGATTCCTCTGGTAGGGGCTGTGGTGGAAGCGGGTGCTGGGGTGAGCTGGATCCCGGGAGACGGGGAGCGACGCGCGCGGAGGTGAGCAAGGCAGAGAGGGGAAAGGAAGATGGGTGAAGGGCGTGGAGAGAGGGGAAGTGAAGGGGGTGGAAGGATTGAGGCCCTTGGAGCGAGGCTGGCGGCCCCTGCCCCTCGCTTCCCCCTCGATTGCGGACCGAGACCGGCCTCTTCGCCTTCGTCGCACGCGAGGATGGACATGTGGCGCCCCTTCGGCATTTTCATGAATATTATGAGACTGATCTTTCCGCGAAGAACAAAGGTCAATTCTCGTCCGCGTGGCTGTCACGTCCATTCTTGATTTGTTATTCGCCGGGCCTTGGAGGCCCGACTTCTCACTCGGGGGCGTTGCTTTGGCCTCAGCCCACCAGAGGCAGGAAAGCCATGTGTGCCTTCCTAGCTACCTCCCTTCCTACCTGCTCGACCCTCGGTGCTTTGCTCTACTTTACACGTTACCGGTGGCTGTCTGGTCTCCGGCGTTATCTTTCTTCTCCGTCCTTTCGGATTCATAAACGGTCCTTAACTTCTCTCATTTCATATCCCTTCACTTCATACTCATCATCCATTTCCTTTGCACAGCACCTCTTTCAGCACAGTACAACCTCCTTTGCACTGCCTTTCTCCCCCTCCCGAAACCCTCCTTCTTTCCTTACATTGTCCTGCCTTCGACGCCTTTGCCTGCTCTCACCCGATCGGCATCCCTCCTCGACCAACCCCCCTTCCTCCCTCCCCCCCCCGCTACCTCGTCCGGCGACTCAACCCCAACGTGCGTTAGCCTAGAGACCAGAGCGCGCTACCGCCCGCTGCCAAGCTTCCCCGTGACGTTACCGCGCCCACTCTTCCCTTTCCGTTCCACCTCTGATACCTCACTGCCGCTCCTGATCACAGCCGGGCCATTTCCCCTCCGGCTCTCGATCCCGCGCGCGTCCTTCCGAGGCCCACCCCCTTCCCCTACTCATACACCGAGTCGGACACATAGGCCTTCAAATGCTCGGGAACAAAGGCTTCCACGTCCTCCACCGAGGCCCTCTGGAGCTGCATCCGCCTCAATATCTCGTTGTCGTCTGCCAACTCGAAGGGGGCGGAGAAATTAAAAAACACGTCGGACCGGTCTTCAGCCATCTCGCAATGGATCAGGGTCTGGGAGTGCGTGTTTACAATGATGAAAGGTAAGGGCACACGCCGTTGCTCCTCGTCTTCAGCTGCTTGGACGGCGGCAGTGGCGGCGGCCGCAGCAGCACGCGCGGTCGCTGTGGAAGAAGAGGGAGAGGACCTGGCTGAGGAGCCCGTCCCTGCCGAGGCGTTGGCAGCGGCGGCGGCCGC